AAATACTTGTACATAGGCTTTAGTTTCTGGCACATTTATTTTCTAAAGACATGAATTAGGGTGGAGAAGGGAAAGTTATGTTCACAGTGCTATTTATTTTTTATTTTTATTGATTTCAGAAAGGCAGGGAGAGGGAGAGAGATAGAAACATAAATGATGAGACAGAATCATCTATTGGCTGCTTCCTACACACCTCACCTCCCCACTCTCCCCCCCCCACACACACACACTGGGGATTGAGCCTGGGAATCAAACTGGGACCTACTGGTTCATAGGTCGACAGTCAACCACAGAGCCACACTGGCCAGGCTTCACAGTGCTATTTCTGCTATTGCTCCTTTTCCAGTCCTGTTAAAGAGGAAATTGTCAGCACCCAACAGTACCCATTAAAAATACATCGAGAGGACTTCCTTATAAATCAGAGTGTAAAAAGAGACACAGTGAATGAATCATGAAGTCCACGTTAAGTCCAGGGGTTGAAAACATGCAGAGGAACACCTTTTCTCCTATTTTCTTTCTTTTATTCATTCTTTCTTAATTGAGATATAATTGACATATAACACTGAGTAAGTTTAAAGCATATAGTGTATTGTTTTGATAGAATTATTTATTGCAACTAGAGGCCCAGTGCACGAATTCGTGCACATGTGGGGTTCCTCTGGGTGGCCTGCAGTCCAACACCACGTGCAGCTCCTGCTGATGCTCCCACTCGTCCCCGCCCCACTGTGCCTGCCACTGTGCCTGCCGTGGGCTTGTGCCCAATCAGTCCCGATCGGGAAAGGCTCATGTTGCCACAGCAGCGCTCACCAGCATGAGCCCTGCATACATCTGGCGCCCTCTCAAGTGGAGTGGCCTGCGGGATTGGGGTGAAACTGGCTCTCCAACATCCCCTGAGGGGTCCTGGATTACAAGAGGGTGCAAGCCAGGCTGAGGGACCCCACTGGTGCATGATCGGGCTGGGGAGGGACTGTGGGAGGGAACCACGGCATGTCCGGCCCATCTCACTCAGTCCCGATTGGCCGGACCCTAGGAGCAAGCTAACCTACTGGTCATAGTGTATGGCTCCTGAGAAGCTGGTGGTCAGTGCACATCATAGCGACTAGTTGACCAGTTAACTGTTCCCAGGTGGTCAGTGCACATCATAGCGAGTGGTTGAGCAGCCTTAGCATATCATTAGCATATTGGTTTGGTTGTTCACTTGTTCTGCTGTTCAGTATATTTGCATATTACCCTTTTATTTTATAGGATATGATTACCACAGTGGTGTTATTTAACGCTTCTGTCATGTCATATAATTGTCATTCTGTTTTGTGGTGAGAGCATTTAAGAGTTAGTCTCTTAGCAGCTTTCAAGTACATAAATGCAGTACTATTAACTGTAATCAAAGTGTTGTGCATTAGACCTCAGACTGGCCAACACTTAGTCATCTCTAACTGCAAGTTTGTACCCTTTACCAACACCTTCTTGGTTCTCTTAACCCCCGACTTCTAGAAATCACCATTCTTCTCTGTTTCTATCAGTTAGGATATCTTAGATTCCACATATAAGTGATATACAATATTTGTCTTTTTCTTTCTTACTCATACTATCTAATAAAAGAGTAATATGCAAATTGACCATATCTCTGCTATATCCACAACCCACGCCCACCATCCAATCAGGAACAAGTATGCAAATTAACCCAACCAAGATGGCTCGACCACGGAGAGAGCAGGAGGCTTGGGTTTCCCTGGCAATGGAGGAAGCCAAGCTTTTCGCCTGCCCTGGCCTGCCTTGGCCTCCACTTAAGGCCAAAAAGTTTCAATTATAGAAGATAAATAAATCCCAGATACCAGGACCTCCACTTGGGTCACTGGGGGGCGTGGCCAGCTTGCAAACCACCACAGGCCCCTCTCCCAGGCTGTCCCACACTCCAAGGGAACCTCCACCCTGATCTGAACACCCTTTAGGGCAAACAAGCCAGCCCCACCTGTGCACCAGGCCTCTATCCTATCTAATCTTATCTAATAAAAGAATAATATGCAAATTGACCATCATTCCAACACACAAGATGGCTGCCTCCATGTGGACACAAGATGGCCATCACAAGATGGCCAGCAGGGGAGGGTAATTGGGAGGGACTAGACCTCCAAGGGAGGGCAGTTGGGGGCGATCAAGCCTTCAGGGGAGGGTTGTTAGGGGTGACCAGGTTGGCAGGGGAGCAATTAGGTATCAATCAGGCTGATAGGGGAGTGGTTAAGGGGGTAATCAGGCTGGCAGGCAGAAGTGATTAGGGGCAATTAGAAAGGCAGGCAGGCGAGCAGTTGGGAGCCAGCAGTCCTGGATTGTGAGACGGATGTCCAACTGCTTGTTTAGGCCCCATCCTGGTAGGATATTGAGAGGTCCCAGATTGGAGAAGGTGCAGACTGGGCTGAAGGACACCCCACCCCCGCCATGCACGAATTTCATGCACTGGGCCTCTAGTCTTAGTATAATGCCCCTAAGGTCCATCCATTTTGTAACAAATAATAAGATTTCCTTTCTCCTGGCTCAATAATATTTTATTATATATATATCACATCTTCTCTTTATCCATCATCCATTGACGACACTTAGGCTGTTTCCATACTAGTATCTTGGCTATTGTGAATAAAGCTGCAATAACATGGAAGTACAGATATCTTTTCGATATCCTGTTTTCATTTCCTTTGGATATATGCCCAGAAGTGGGATTGCTGGATCATATGGTAGTTCAATTTTTAGTTTTTTTAGGAGCCTCCATATTATTTTCCACAGAGGCTGAACCAATTTACATTCCCACCAACAGTACACAAGGGTCCCTTTTCTCTACATCCTGGCCAACACTTACCTCTTGTCTTTTTGTTGATTCCTATTCTAAAAGATGTGAAGTGTTATCTTATGTGTTTTGATTCTTATTTTCCTGGTTCGTGATGTTGAACATCTTTTCATATACTCATTGGCTATTGGTATGTCTTCTTTGAAAAAACGTTAATTTTTTTTTCTGCCCATATTTAAGTCAGATTGTTTTTTAATTTTTATTTTTTTGCTATTAAATTGAATGAGTTCTTTATATATTTTGGATATTAACTCCTTGTCAGATATGTGGTTTGCAAATATTTTCTTCCATTCTGTAGATTGCTCTTCATTTTGTTGTTTCTTCTGCTATGAAGGTTTTTAGTTTGATGAACTCACACTTAATTTTGCTTTTGTTGCTTGTGCTTCTGGTGTCATATCCAAAAAATTGTTGCTAAGACATCAAAGAGCTGTCTTCTCTATGTTTTCTTCTAGAAGTTTTATGGTTTCAGATCTTACACTTAAGTCATTAATCTATTTTGAGTTATTTTTTGTGAGTGAGAATTGTACTGTGACCTCCTGATTGTCGATGCCCAACCATTGAGCAGTCACATCAGCTGAGCTACTAAATTGTCTTTTTTTAAAAGCTGCTTAATATCCTAATAAAGTATGCTGTAATCCATATTTTTCTATTGCTGGATATATATAGGATTTCCCTCAGCTTTTTAATAATGTATTTATTGCTGCATGTACATAGAATTCTTTATATTTCAGATAATTTTTTAAATTACCACATTTGCTACATTTTATCAATGTTTTTCCTACATATTATCAATGTTTTTCCAAGAGATAGTACTATCTAGTACTAGATTGACAAAGTCTCTAGCAACATATGAAGCATCACTTATGCTACATCCTCAAATATTATGTTTAAAATAATTTTACTGCCCAGCTGGCTCAGTGGTAGAGCATTCACCTATGAACCAGGAGGTCACGGTTAGATTCCTGGCCAGGCCACATGCCCGCGTGGTGGGTTCATTCCCAGTGTGGGGCATGCAGGAGACAGCCAATCAATGATTTTCTCTCTTTATTGATGTTTCTCTGTCTCTCTCTCTCTTTCTCTGTCCCCCCTTTCCTTCCTGAAATCAATAAAAATACATTTTAAAAAAGTAAATAATAAATTTACTAGTTTAATTTCAACAGCCTAATTATTTCTTTAATTGCATTGGATTTTTCTTCATGTGTATTTACTAGGTGTACTTATTTCATGAATTGTTTGTCCTTTACATAATAAAATAAAATAAAAGTATAAAATAAAAGTCTAGTATAAAATAAAATATAATAGTTTAAAATAAAAGTCTTGGGAAATTCGTTCTAACTTTTTAAAACTTCTATACAGATATTTTATCAATATATTGAAAAATTAAAATAATATATATGCAAACAAGGAGAAAATAAAAGTGCTTATATTGTTGCCACACAGAAATATCTACTTTTTGTGTTTTAAATATATCCTTCTGATTTAAAAAAAAATGTACATCCATTTTTTAAAATAATTACATACACCATCATACTTTTTAACCTGCCTTTTCTAATTCAACATTCTAATGACTTAATATGAAAATTTTAATACTTTTTTTCTGGTAATATATGTCCTTTCCTGAAAAATATAAACTATAAAGAAGAAAAATTACCTATTATTCTACCGCCTAGAGATAATTGCTATTGATTTATTGCAATTCCTCTCCATTTTTAATGAATCTGTATTCTTCCTCAAAATTATAATCATGCTGTAAATATTTATTATGTTTACTGAATATTCATTATACAATATTATTATATCTATGAAATATCTATTTATGATTATCCCATAGTTCCATAATTTATTTTTAAATTGTCATGGTGTTAGATGTTTGCTTCCAATATTTATTATTATTTTTACCAGTTTTGTGCACTCATTACTCCTCCCCAGCATTGCCTATCTTATTTTTTAAAAATTATTTGCTAATTTGTTACTTAAATGGCATCTCATATTTTGATACATTTTTTAAATGTAAATTCATTAATAACTAGGATCCCACAAGAACATATTTTAACAAAAGGAAGTAGGCTTTTTGTAAATGTGTGTATGTGTGTGTGTTTGTGTGTGTGTGTGAACATAAACAGTGGATCCTGCGCCTAAAATAGAACTATTTTTTTTATAATAGGTCTTGGTATCTTCATGAACACACACTACTAATAATCATTTGTGTTATCATTGTGTTTCCTCTTGCTCTTCTTCCTAAAATAGGTAAGTCTTTGTTGAAGAGAACATTATTTTTTAAAGTTAAGAAAAAAGAAAGAAGATAATATTAAGGAGCTTTGGAAGTTCACAGTACCACATTTTTAGCAGAAGGGTGGTGGTTGCGCATAGTTTTGAACTTGGACTTACTGTAGGTTGTTCAGCCCTGTCTAGTTAACCTATTACTTGTTTTGCAGTAGTATTTTGTCTGCCCCACTAAAATAAAATCTTTACAGCGGAACATTAAAGAGCAGCCTTCCCTTACAGTGTACCATTAGTGGTAAGCCAGTTCCAATTCTGCCGTACAGAGCTACATAAATGATCTGTGACAGATAGTTGGAATGTTGTTATTCTCAGCCCTAAGCCCCAGATACCAAGCCCTGTAATAGAAAACATGCCCAAGATGTATAGCTTTAGCTGTACATTAGGATTATTTTCCTTATAAATTGTTTTTTTATTTTACTGTTATTTTACAGGCTTTCTTGGCTACACAAGTAGTTTATCATTTTTCTTTATGGCATTCTTTGCTCTTGTGGTAAGTTTAAAATATAGCATGTTGCTTATCTCCTCACTAAAATGGAACTCATTGTCTTAATGCCTTTTTTTCTTTTAACTCTGTTTTGTTTTGGGGAGGTATCCCACTTTATTTCAGTGTGTTACCCAAAGGACTTCTGTTTCACAAAATTATTTCCTCCATTTTATCTATATTGAAGAGGCTTGGCTGGACCAGCATTTCAAGTTCAGTATCACTTGTGGTTAATTAGAAAGGAGAGCACACCATTCTGTTAAAACCTTAGATGGAGTGTAATTTTTTGTGTAGGTTGTATGATCACTTTATTTCTGAACAGTATTGTGTGTGTGTGTATGTGTGTCAGGGGTACTCAATTATGAGGATCAGGCTGGTTCATATCTGTAAAATAGTTTGATATTATCTTAATTATGAAACTTTGTTCCATTAAAGACACAGGCCTTAACTATTGCAATCTAGTAAGAACTGGGGTGTCTGAATTGTATCTGGTCTGGTTTATTCAGCATAGTTAAGGTCTCATAAAAATACTACTGCAAAGAAATGTTTTTTTCACATGTGTAATACTTTTTTTCTTATATTTAAAAATTAGCAGGAAAAATATCAGATGTAAACTTACTATTTATAAAATAATCTTTTAAAAAGACACATGTTTAAATGATTTGATTAAACTTTTAAAATCATAAGCTTCATGAAACTCTCCCTTAATAATGAGAAATGAATAAAAGAAAAATGCCACCCAAAAGAGCAAGATAATACATCAGTAGTTAAGTTATTTATATTACATAGCCAGATTTCTGTGCTGTCAAAACAATCTAAGATGCATTTAACTTAGTCTAACGTGATCTTCTGGGATACAAAGATAAAACAATTTCAGATTATTTTAAAGAGTGGAAGTGACGCTAGCTTCTGTGTACAGAAACAGTTATACTTTAATGAATGCTCTTAAAACTAAAAATGCTTAACAGTGTTTACATTTAATCATTTGTTGAACTTATCAACGTTGTCTTCCCCCTCGAATTGTATGATTTATATCTTACAAGTAAGTGAATCGAACATACACTTTCTTTTAGACTTTTTCTTTCAGTTATAATAAGATATAGTAAGTTTAAGTTATCCAGCATAATGTCTTGACTTATATATTCAATATATTGTAAAATGATTGCCATATAAGTTCAGTTAGCATCCATGAACATACACTCTTTAGACCCCACAATGAAGAGGGAAACAATCAATCAAAATAGTGAACTATTTGAATGGATTTTAGTCAGATGCTTTCCTTCTACTGAGTGCTGTTAGGCATGTGGGAGTTTAACCTGGACACAGCTCTAAGGGTCAGTCAGTTGTGTAGATGAGATAAGATAAATCTATTAGAAAACAAGTAGATAGAGAACAATATAGGCAATACATAAGTATGGACTTATTTGCTTCAGAGTAAGAATTGCAAGAGTTAAAGATCACTGAGAGCTAGAGTAAAGAAGGATGTGGAAGGAAATAAATAAGCTGAACATTGAAAGATGGGGAAGACTGGGAGAAGAGTGAAAGAAGGCCTTCTGTGCAATGGAAAGACTTTTACATACTTAGTCATCTTTCCCCTGTCTTTCTAACTCCTGGAATTATCTTCTGACCATGATCTATCTTCACCCTGAGTAAGGACTGCCTGTCACTCTTGGCTGTTGGGTATTGCCCCATTCCTGCCCGTACTTCCGGTGCATAAGATATCACTTCTGACAACCTCAGCCCAGTGTGCGGGCCTGGGGTTAGGAGGGATCTCTGTTGAGAGATTAGCTCTAGTAACTAATTTTATATTAATATAAAATCAGGTTGCTAATGATATTTTCTAATTCATGAAAAAAATGATGATATTGCATTTTGGATCATTGCATTCAATATTTTGAATTGCAAGCCTCATGATAGCAGCTGATAAAATAAATGAGGTGGCTCACACACCAATTTATTGCAGTGCCTGGTACACAACAAATGCACCGTAAATGGTTGTTGCTGCCACCACCACCACTGGAGCAGGGCTGAAGAGACTAGCTTCTGCCCCACCCATTCTTACCCCCCCCCCTTTTTTTTTAATTTTAAAAAAATATATTTTATTGATTATTTTTTTTACAGAGTGGAAGAGAGAGGATAGAGAGATAGAAACATTGATGAGAGAATCATCGATCAGCTGCCTCTTGCACACCCTCTATAGGGGTTGTGCTCACAACCAAGGTACAGGCCCTTGACTGGAATCGAACCTGGGACCTTTCAGTCCGCAGGCCGACGCTCTATCCACTGAGCCAAACCAGTTTCAGTTTCTCTCTTTCTTTTTTTTGAACATACCAATAAAAAGATGGTGAGATTATTGCTTTTGATTTTTTTTCTTCTCTCATGGTAAGTTGACCATTTATTTTCATTACATATGGAAAACATATCTAGAAATGTCAAAGCAATTTTCCTAGTTTATCCTTATAATTGTCCCCCTCTTGCCCTCTTGGGGAGGGTTTTAATTAAGAGTCATTCTTTAGTTTACTCATTAACTTAATCCTAAAGGTATATGTTTTCCTTAGATTTGTTTTATCGCTATATAAAATCTTGGCTGAATTAGTTTAAATCCAAAGCTAGATAAATACCAAATAGGAATAGGAATAGGAGCAGTATTTACTTATTGGTCTCCTGCAAAGGACAAACGCTTCCTTTATTCTCCCTTCCCCTTTGTATGCTGGGTTTCAGCCTAGAGCAAATATTTACAGAGTAATTATGTGCCCCGAAACAAGGGCAACAATGGCAATGTTGACACAACCACAACCTTAGGTCTAGGAACAGGATGGCCACAATTAAGAGTAAAATCCTGAAGAAGAAAAAAAGAAAATAAATAAAATTATGAAACATTTTTATGGATTATTTCTGGGAATTGACATCCCTCTGGATTTTTTTATTTTTTAAATTTTTTATTTTTAACAACTAGAATTCCCTAGCTATGTGCTTTTATTCTTAGCCAGTTTTTTTTCTACTTTCACTGAAAGTAACATAAGTTTGAAAAAAGCAAGAAGGGATAGTACTTCTATATCAGAAATCTCCAAGCTCACCCTTTGCATAAGGTCTTTACTCACTTCTGCCTGTGGCCATTTCCAAAACAGCTGTTACTATTTCTCCATCTGCCTCTGATGCCAGGTCCACAAATAACCATATTCTTGTACCATTGTCACTAAAACATTGTGTTCCCATTTTAAGTTGCACATTTTTTTTAATGCCTTGATGCTGTTGGAATTTTGGAAGTTGACTTGAGAGTACTCTCAGTCTTTAATGGGGGAGATTTCCACTAACCAGATAGGCAGCGTCCAACCTCACCCCACCATAGGGAAAGTTATACAGTCAAAGAATCTGTTAGCTAGCATATGGTTTGGCATGGTGTTAGGTTAATTGAAATAATGCCGTCCTATTTGAAATAACTTCTTTTCATGAAGTTTAGAAGAAATAATCTGGTTTGTTGATTCTTCTTCTTCTTACAGACAGTAATTAAAAAGTGGTCTATCCTTTGTCCTCTGACATTAAATTCTATAGAGCAGCATTTCCAGGTAATACTTTATATTTTCTTTTCAGTTTCTTCCTTTTTATTTTAAGCTAAAAAGAAAAAAAAAATCAGGCTAATATATATTTTTTCTAATAAATGGAAAAGTAATGACTAGTTTGCATTTTGGAACTTTATTTTGAAGTGTTTTTATTTGAAAGCCTAGTTATAATAAAGTCATCATGTTTGTTGATGCTTTCTGACTTTTAATGACTATTGGTTTCTCTTTTTCCCCTCAATCCTCTTAAACAGATTTCAAATGCTACAGATGATTGTAAACCAAAGCTCTTTCATTTCTCCAAAGAGGTGTGTAAGTTATTAACAGATACTTTTGGTTGATTTTTCACATTTCAAGTTTTAAGAGATTTGTGTAACAGGGTCTCTTAGGTCTTTGTACCTGTAACTAATTAATTTTCATGAAAGTGCTAAGTATAGGGTTGCCTACCAGAAGAATAATATTATTTAACACAGGGTGGCCCATTATGAAACAGCCACCTTTTTTTGGCATGCCTTTAAATGGAGCCTGTTTTAAATGGGCAACTGCCTAAAAGAACAGATTTACTAAATGTCTGGTCTGGCCAATAAGGTCCTCTGTGGATACAGACTTCCTGTTGCCCTCTGGACTTGTAAAGCTAAATAGCCAATTATATAAAAACCTCCTCCCTTGTGAGTAGAACCTTGGTCTGCAGCTAAACAGCCTCATCATTGGACCAGCAATTGAGCACTGCCAGTATGTCTTCTGGCAGACATTCCACAGTTCAGATTTATGATGCCTTCAGTGGAGACTGGAAAACCGGGTCCCTTTGCATTCCCGGAGAGCCCTCAGATACTGACAGTGCCTGCAAGAGCCCTTGGCATCTACAGGGGAGACCGGGTGACCTCTAGCATTCTGGAAGAGCTTAATCTTCCTGTGGCTTTAAGGTTTTTTTTTGTCTACACTTTTAGATTCTGCTGAAATGCAGGTTCCAGATGCTAGAATCCCTCCACTCAGGTACAACTCTGTCAGTGTACTATTTCAGTGCCACTACTCCTCCATGCAGAACTTTCCATTTTATCCGCAATTTTTACACAACATATGTCCCTCTGGCCCCCCAAGGGGGGTTACCACATCGTATGTGGAAAAGGCCTCCGTGTGCCTTAAAGATCTAGGTAGGGTAATTGACAAGCCAGGAAATTGAGCAATATATGAAAGAGAATTTGTGAATTAAAGTCCCATTCCCGTAATCCAGTCTCAGGAAACACTACAGCTTTCCTTCCTCTCAATTCCCTTCAAATATTTGAGGAGGCATTATGTCCCAAGATAGGTCTTCAGTCATCTGGAACTTCTTTTGCTGAAGAGCCTGAAGTTAGTCAGGGGAAAATTATTTTAGAGTAGAGTCAGTATTTTCATTTAGTTGGTAACTTTTGTTTGCTTTGTAATGACCTCTGGCTCTTACATATTCTAACTTTAAAAAAAAAAAGTTAGTTCATGTATTCCATTGGATCTCCAAAAACTTGCCTGTCTAGAATAAATCATGTTCATTCCCATTGAAAGAGAACATAGGCAAAGATGCTAATATGTGATTAATATTTGTAATATTCCATTAGATTAAATCAGTGATATTACCTTTGATTGAGTTGATAAAAGCAGATTCAAAAGCATTAACGATTATTTCTGCTTATAGAAGTAAGTTGTATTTAAATTTTCTAAAGTATACATTAGAATTAAATTATTTCTAGAATGTTATTTTGAATCTTAACCTAAATATTATTTATTCCACATAAGTTATTTTTATTTCACCCAAATAATATACGAGCAACAGCAGTTGTAGTAAAAGTAACATGGTATAGAAGCCAGCCAAGGAATATCTGGCTAGTACAGGCATTCCATCTACCAGAGGAAAGATTCGCTGATGATCATGGTTGTGTCTCTCTAAAACAAAACAAAACAAAACAAAACAAAAACAACACAATCTTATTTTATAGAGACAGTTTATGAAAAATGAAGTGAATGTAACCAAATTGATTTTTTTTAAAGAACTAAGCTCATTGTTAAACGAAGTAGTGGTTTCAACAGAGTAGCATTTAGTAATTTTGTCTTTTTTTTTCTTTTCAGAGTGCTTATGCGATACCAACCGTGGCTTTTTCATTTCTCTGCCATACCTCAATATTGCCCATTTACTCTGAACTTCAAAGGTACCATAGAATCCTGGATTATTTTAAATGTATTAAATATGACCTTTTACTTCTAGGCCTTTCAGGTTGAATAAAATTCTCCTTTATGAATTCTTTCCTCCCATCACTGGATTCTAAGTGTTAGTTTAAAACAAAATGGAACAACCGAGAGTTAGTTCTGTTTAAATTGAGGATGCTTCCTGGAAGCATAATCTTTGTGCAGTAATTTTAAATCAGCAATTAATGAACTAGGTCTTGAATGATTAAGGAACCCTTTTGTTTAGCTTGGGAGATATGTTTCTATAGATATAAATAATTTCCCTGATTCTACTTTTGCCATTTTTGTCTTTTAGCCCTTCAAAGAAAAGAATGCAGGATGTAAGCAATACCGCAATTGCTTTAAGTTTCCTTGTTTATTTTGTATCAGCGCTCTTTGGGTACCTCACTTTTTATGGTAAGTATATCATTTAATTGTAGATGAAAAAATAGATTGTTCTCTCATTCAGTGGTTGCCAACCAGTGGTCTGTGAAATCCAAAAGGTGGGTGACCCCTGGTCTAAAGGAGCCTTTGGAGCAGTGGTCGCCAGCCGGTGGCCTGTGGACCACTGGTGTCCATGAGGTCCTAAAGGTTGGTGGCCGCTGCTCTGTTTGATCTCACACTTGACTCTGAACTTGGTTTCTGCCTTTCATTAGTAAACTAATGAGTCCCAGGATTCACTGCAATACTGTAGTGGCTCTACGGGGGCCCTAAAGAATTGACTTTCTTTCAGGTTGAATAACATCTCCTTTGTGAATGTTAAGGAAACACCTGAATAAAACCTCGGGATTAATATCTTTCTACAAGAAAAAAATGTACAATACTGATTTATTTTATTTTATTTTTAAACATTTTATTGATTTTTTTTTTTTTTTTTTTTTTTTTTTACAGAGAGGAAGAGATAGGAATAGAGAGTTAGAAACATCAATGGGAGAGAAACATCGATCAGCTGCCTCTTGCACAGCCCACTACTGGGGATGTGCCCACAACCGAGGTATATGCCCTTGATCAGAATCAAACCTGGGACCTTTTAGTCTGCAGGCCGACACTCTATCCACCAAGCCAAACTGGTTTTGGCAATACTGATTTATTTTAAAAATATTTTAGAATCTTATTTTCAATACATTAGGCTTTAGTTCAGAAGTTTGGAAGAATCAGCCATTTTAACTGCAGAAGAACCAATTGAGAAAGGGAAGGGTTTTACACTGAACTATAGTTGTATGCTTACATGTCAGACATTTCTGCCTTCAGCCTCAATTCATATGATTCAAGACATTCATAATTTTTAAAAAGGATTTTTTTAAATTCATAAATTAACATTAAATGTTTCTTATGTTTATTTTTGAAAAATTGCCTGTTTTTTTTTCTCTTCTAATAAGAACCTCAAGGAAAAGTAAAACTTAAAAGTCTAGAATAAGATTTTAAAAATTATAAGCTCTCTAATTTGCAAGTATGCTTGTTTAATTTGCAAACAATCACATTATGACAAATTACACCCAGTTTGTCAGACACTTCAGTACACTTGTCAGTTTATGAATGCTTTTATAACAACTCTCCAAGTAAGTGGCTGTTATTACTTTGGTGATAGTTAGCTGTTATGACTCTGATTTCACAGTTGATAGCCTTGTGTGCATGCTTCAGGTTTTAGCCATCCATGAGGACTTGTAATGGGCTTTTGCTTATCTCTCAGAGTTTGTCCACATCTGATAAGTTTTTGGACAACATTTACTTGCATAGCTTCCTTTCCTAAGCCCAGTGGAAAGAGTATGGATTTCTAAATTGAACAAATATGGTTCAAATGACTGCTCTGCTCTAAGTAGGTATGTGACCTTGAGCAGGGTACTTCATCTTAGAGTATCTTATCTCCTAATCTGTTACAAGGGATAATTGCAAAGAGTGCTTAGTACCATGTCTGGCATATAGCAGTCTTCTACAAAGAGAAGCTGCTGCTCATGGTGTGTTGTTATCATTACTAGTGTAATTATTGCATGATTACAGGGCTCTGTTTTTCAACATGGTACTTCTTATTGTCTTTAATGACATTAAATGTAAATATGGTAGCTTTTCAGTATATGTTGTGAGTATTATCTTGGAGATGGCCTACACATCTCTAGGATAGCTTGAGAAGAAGTTACATAAATTACCATGAGATGCTTAGGAGCTGTATGATCATCATGTAAGTGTAATGTTTACTACAATACATAGGGGTTTTCCTGATTATCAAGTAACACTGTTATGTTGTCTTGGACTTAATCCTTCTCCACCAATGCAGATTCTTCAGAGTATCCACATTTTATATTATGGAGAAATTCACATTTAAGAAAAATAACATGGTATGTAGGTAGGTAGGTATATAAGTAGGTGATGGATGGATGGAAGGAAGGAAGGAAGGATGGATTGACAGAGGAAGATTCAAATATGATTTGCTAGTCATTGTTTTGTTTGGGGGTTTTTAATCATAACCAGGGGAAATCTTGTATATTTCTAACAACAATAGCCTTCAGTCTTATGGAAATAAATTGCTAATAGAGTCTGAGGCCTTAATCAAAAGGGCTTATTGAAAGTTAAGGCTTCAACTCATTTTATAGATGAGCATCTAAAGCCCAAAGAGGTGCCCTAACCAGTTTGGCTCAGTGGATAGAGTATTAGCCTGTAGACTGGAAGGTCCCAGGTTTGATTCAGGTCAAGGGCATGTACCTTGGTTGTGGGTACATCCCCAGTAGGAGATGAGCAGGAGGCAGCTGATCGATGTTTCTCTCTTATCAATGTTTCTAACTCTATCCCTTTCCCTTCCTCTCTGTAAAAAGACATCAATAAAAATAAATAAAGCCCAAAGAGGTGACCTGTCACACGATTAGTGATTAGTGGCAGGCCTCCTGAATACTGATCCGTGGTCTTTCTGCTGCTCTGTAGTGATCTTTAGAAACTTCATACCAGTTTGACAATTTGCATTAAACAGGACAGCCTCCTGACTTCAGTAGCATACACCACCCATCCTTACTGAGATTTGTAGAGATTTGCCTGTATCCAGAGAAGCGTGTCATGCTTTATTCCTTACATATGGTAAGGCTCAGCTAAGAACACAGAACTGACTGGCTCAGAAGAAAGGGTTTCGTCCTCAGAAAGTAGAAAGTGAACATTAACCGCTATTTTGAATATATAATAAATCTACCCTGTTTCCCTGAAAATAAGACAGTGCTTTATATTAATTTTTTCTCCCAAAGTTGCACTGGGTCTTATTTTCCGGGGATGTCTTATCTTTCCATGCACAAGGTCTTATTTTCAGAGAATGTCTTATTTTCGGGGAAATACGGTAGTTCTTCAGGCTCCTGGAGCTGCTTGGGGTCTTGTCACAGTGCTTCCCAGGCCTAGTTAATATTTAAATTTTGTCAGATTAAAAAGACCTATATGTATGTTCCTAGATGACTAACATTGGCTCTGACTGCAGGTGTTAAGGCATTTTAAGTTGAGGGGGGAAAGTGTCTCTTTGGTAGGCCAGGCCAGTGCCCAAATGTTGCATAATAACCAGATCATGTAAAAAGTCTATGAGGTTGTTAAGCAATAAGTGTTAATAGCTCTTTTTTTATGATTCAGAAAGCGGGGGGCAGTTTGCCATATTTCTCCAAAACTCACAAGTATCTCACAGATTTGGGAATAGAATTTAACTTTAATCTCCTCTTTAGTCCATAGTTCCACCCTACATAAAGTACAGCTTTGATAAGTTAGACAATTGGTTCGTCTCCCCTTTCCATTATCACTAGTCTAGTCCAGTCTTCATTCCCTCTCAGTGATTATGACTGTTGCCTTCCGTTATCCCTGTTTCGGGTCTCTTTTCCTCCCAATCTGTCCTCCTTCTTAGTTTAGATCAGAATTCACTATTTTTCGTAGTAAGTCATGGCATCTCTGTGTTCTACCAGAGTGAGCCCAAACCTTCAACAAAGAATTCCTCTGTTGAGTCTTAAATGTGTTTCCAGCCTTACCACCCTCTGCTCTTGTGCTGCGGCCCCCTCCAGGTCAGCCGCTGTGCTCCTCTGGAATCTCAGTTTCTCAGCTGCCTATTCCCTCTGCTTTCTCAGGACTTCTGCTCTGCTGGTCCTTGCTCCGAGGATCTCTTCCCCACACACATGCATTAACTCATTTAATGCTGTAACGCTACAGGTGAACGTATCATTGTCTCCATTTTATAGATGTAAGAACCAAGTTATAAAAGTTAATTTGCTATTAAGTAGTGGGACTTGAACATTAGTCTGTGTGGTTCCAGATTTCAAGCCCCCCTCCACCATCCTGCCCCCCAGTATATCATGGTGACTCTCCCCAAGCCTTCCCTGGTTTCTGAATTGCTCATTCCAAGGCCATAGTTATCGTTCTCTATTCAGGATCACCATAGCTGTTTGTTTGGACCTTCTTCTGTCACTTATGTATGTATCTGTGCTTAGACGCTATCATATATGTATGTGTATTCACCGTATCTGTCCTTTAAATTTTAATATTCTTGAAAATGGAGGTATGTTTGATTTGTCTCTTATTTCTTCCAAAGCACCTTTCCAAAACATACCCTCAAATTAAAAAGCACTATTCTTTCATAAGTACAAATCAATCTTTCCCTACAAGGCAGTGATATGCAATGTTCTGAATACCTCACTTGGATACACCTTGTCTGTCTTGAGGTGCGGAAAACGTGGGAGTGGAAGAACACCATGGAGCAAGACATGGTTAGCATGTACAAATTCTGTCACTGACTACCACACTGGCTGGCTAAGTAAGCCAGTTCCCTAAAACTTTTATGAAAGATTATCTACAGATGAGATGTCGAGGAAGCTGGTAAGATGTGTGGAACTCAATGAGACTCTAGAAAAATTGCAATGTCAAGGAAAAGGTATTGGTTTTGGTATCAAAAAAAAAAAAAAAGTGTACAGCTGTGCCAGCTCTGCCCCAATGAGCTACCAATCTTATATTGTTATCGCACGGATCAAATTCATGTGAAAGCACTTTACAAAGCAAACAACATAAAAACTTTCAGACAATGGGAACGTTCTAACAAGATATTTTTACATATATTTTATTGTCATAATTTAAGTTCTGCCTGTGCTGATTTGTAGTGTCATTAAAAGAAGAGGCTGTGGGCTTCAAGAAGATATTTAGCTAATGTCTCTGTGTTTCCTAGGAGAGAAAAAGGCCAGAGATGGGTTGGGGAGTAGGAATCTAAAATCTGTTAAGATTCCTTTGTGCAAAGGAAAACAATTTTGATGTTATTGACATTTTGGTAGTTTTTATTGTAATTCTTATTGTTATTTTTTAAAATTTACAGACAAAGTGGCGTCTGATATACTCCAAGATTATAATAAATACTTGCCTCATGATGTTGTTATCAGGACTATGAAGTTATGTGTACTGTTTGCTGTGCTTTTGACAGTCCCTCTAATCCACTTCCCTGTAAGTACTCTTAAAGGTTTTGTTGCTTGGTGTAGCAGCTCCCTAATGTGGCAACACTAATTCTTTGCAGACTAGAATGTTTGAATCACATCTAGTCTTGTATATCTTGCTCATTTGTTAAGTAATTGATCAAAGACCTCATTCTTGCGTATAACCCATGAATGCACAAAAATAACAGTGAGCCCCTAAGCTAATTTGTGCCTTTTGAGATTTAGTTTAGATTTATGCTTTCCCACAGCATTGTTTCCAATTTAGAGACTATAGTTCGTCTAAGGTTTTGGTGTGTGTGTTTTTCCTTTTTAATTCTGTATTCTGTTTTTCTCCCCAAAAGAATGCATGAAGAGGAAAAAGTCAAGTCAGCAAAAATAAGCTCCTTCTGGTTTATTGTAAATTTATCTTTATGTAGACATTCTAGTTTAATCTATGTCAAACTACTTTATTTGCTCTAGAATTATAGTTTAAGGGCAGAACAGATTTTCATTCTGCATTTAGTTGCCGTACTTAAGAATCTTAAGAATTTCTGAGAAAATGGATAAAAGGCTTTGGATATAAATGCTTCTGCATGGAAGTCTGAATTCCTAAACAGTGAGTTCCTTAAGAGCTGGGCCTTCAGGAGTCTTGCCCCCTCCCTGTGCAGTCTGCAGGGCCAGGAGTGCAGCAGGGGCTGTGTAAACATTTGTGGACGTGACCGCCTGCTGCCTGCCTGAACAGTGGGAAGTGTCATGAATTAGTTTTCATATTTACATGCTGTGAAACAGATAATATAAAATAAAATAGTAAATGGTGTTTCTTCCACATGGCATGATTTCTTTCCTCGTTTTAAACCTTTTGTTCTTTTGTTGAAATTAATGACAATGATTCTTCGAGATTTCATCACACAGGGTTTATTGTTGATACTTTTGAAAATTGTGCAACTTAAAGAAATTGTATGTGGAAATTTTTTAAGAATTAAAGCAAAATGATTTTTATGAAGATTACACAGAAATATGTATTTCTTAGTTTGTGAATAATAAACACGATAATGGTTTATGTTATACTTTTGTAAACTAAATGGTGTTGGGGACAGGAATATCATGATTACGGTACTGTACAAGCGAGTATTTTGGCTTTCACACTTTCTCCTTGCTTAAATTTGTTTCTCTTTATGTTATACAGGCAAGGAAAGCTTTAATGATGATGTTTTTCTCCAATTTTCCATTCTCATGGGTTCGCCATTTTTTGATCACGCTAGCACTCAATATTATCATTGTCTTACTGGCAATATTTGTCCCTGACATTAAGACTATATTTGGTGTAGTTGGTAAGTTTTATATTTCAAAAAGATCCACATAATAAAATGGGTAAACTTGTTACCCAGCCGAACATCTGAATCTGGCAGTCATCCTCTCTTTTCCTCCCGCCTAAAGGTTCCAGCACATCCACGTGTTTGATTTTTGTGTTCCCAGGACTTTTTTACCTGAAACTTAGCAGAGAGGATTTCCTCTCATGGAAAAAGCTTGCGGTAGGTTGGTTTTTGTTTTGTTTCTTTTAAGAATCCTATTTTAAGAAATGATTTGTCATTTTCTAATTATTTTATCTACATAAAAAATAATGTATTTTGAGCTATTCCATACATTATTGGGAAGGGTGGAGATTTTTTTAAAAAATACCCTAATTGTTATTATCTTTTTTCTTATTTCCACAGGCCTTTGCTTTTCTCATCTTTGGAATTTTGATTGGGACTTTTACTTTTGCCCTCATCGTTTTTAATTGGATTAATAATAAATGAAAGATAACTTTTCCCATTTCTTGTGAAGAATTCTTTACCTCCATATGCAAAAAGGGGCAATTCTGGAAGGCACCTTGGATGAATGCTGTATATGGGTTAACATTTTTGTAAGCATTCTTAACAGAAAAGTGAAACAGCATGGAAGTGGGCAAGGAAAAGTGAGCTCATAGCAGTTTTAATCAAAATAAGAAACAAACTCAGAATACTCTTAAATGTATTAGGTCAGTCTTTTCTTTGTCACTTTGTGGGTCTGATGCTTTTTTTTTTTTTTTTTGATAAATAGACTTAATTTTTTAGGGTAGTTTTAATTTTCACAGAAATATTGAGCAGAAAGAAGAGTCCCATATGTGGCTTCACCCCCAAAACATCCATAGTTTCCCATATTATTAACATCTTGAATTAGTGTGGTATATTTATTATACTTGTTGAGCCAAATATTATTATTAACTTAAGTCCATAGTTTACATTGGGGTGCACTCTTGATGTAAGCATTGGCAATCACTAATTACTTTACTATCTTCCTAAAAACTCTGAGCCTTTTCTAGCATGTCATATAGTTGCAATTAAATGGTATCCAACCTTTCAGACTGGCTTCTTTTTTTTTTAATAAATATATTTTATTGATTTTTTTACAGAGAGGAAGGGAGAGAGATAGAGAGCTAGAAACATGGATGAGAGAGAAACATTGACCAGCTGCCTCTTGCACACCCCCCACCGGGGATGTGCCCACAACCAATGTACATGCCCTTGACCGGAATCGAACCTGGGACCTTTCAGTCTGCAGACCGACGCTCTACCGTTGAGCCAAACCAGTTTCGGCAGACTGGCTTCTTTCACTGAGCAATATGCAATAAAGTTTCCTACTTGTCTTGTCATGGCTTGGTAGCTCATTTATATACACCATTGTCTGGATGAACAACCGCAGTTTTGTTTTCTGTTCACCTGTTGAAGGACCTCTTGGTTGCTTCCAAATGTTGGCAGTTTTGAATAAAACTGTGCAGATTTTTGTGTGGACATAAGTTTTCAGCTTATTTGACTTAATACCAAAGGACATAATTGCCACATCGTGTGGTAAGAATATGTTTAGTCCTGCAAACAACTGCCAAACTGCCTTCCAAAGTGGCTGTAACATTTTTCATTCCCACCAGCAATGAATTGAGAATTCCTGTAATTCTACATTCTCGCTTGGTGTTGGCAGTATTTTGTATTTTTTCGATCCTAATGGGTGTGTAGTTGTTTCTCTGTTGTTTTAATTTGTATTTCCCTAATGACATACGATGTTGATCCTCTTTTCATGTGTTTATTTGTCATTTGTGTATTTTCTTTGGTAAGGTGCAGATCTTATGCCTGTTTTTTAAATTAGGTTGTTTTCTCATTGTTGAGTTTTAAGCATTTGTATACCTGTTCTTTATCAGACATGTGTTTTGCAAAGATTTTCTCCCAGTATGTTCCTTTTTTCATCCTCTTTAACAGTGTATTTCACGGAGCAGAAGTGTTTAATGTTATTAAATATATTAAGTCAATCTTTTGTTTATTTTTTAAAGAAATCAATGTAAGTTTACATACAAAATTGAATCTTAGCTTGTGGGCTAATGTCACCGTCCATCACTAATATCAAAACTGTGGGATTATTCCATTTGGTATTTTGCCCTGACTCCAAATCCTCTCCGAGAAACTTTTGTGATTTTTCTCTGTTGTGCATTAGAAGATAGAACTGTGATGATTGGCTGTGGACTTGAAAGTTCTCTGAGCTTTCTTGTTTGTCACTAAAACATGTGACTTTCTACTTGGCAATATGACAGATATTGGTGCTTTATGTCATACTTTGTTTGGAGGTTATAAATTATTCCAATCTTCCCAGTGATGTGGCTTGTTTCTGGTTGGAAACCAGAAATTGGGTCTCTCCTGCCTGTGAGTATTCTATGTAAAGGACCCCTTAGCAGCCTACCGAAGCCAGGGTGTATCAGTGAAAATGTAATCCCATCCCCGTGCACATGTAAAGTAGGGAATTACATGCAAAGTGCCAATTTACATGTATGGAAATCCACACTTTTGCAGGTGCCTCTTACTTCCCTCTTAGGAAATTGGCTGAAAATTTGACAACTGAGCTTTTCTTTTGAGTTAAGATACTTCTTTGGCAAATCTGAGATTAGCATGGTGTAATGGAAAAAGTCCAAGTTTGGGGGTTAGAAAGACTTAGATTCAAATCTCAGTGAGTTTAGGGAAACTACTTAACCTCTCTAAGCCTCCACTTTCACATAGGTATTAGATGGAGTTAATACCAATTATACAGGGTTGTGCTGAGAGGATTAAGTGACCTTGTATAAATTAGGTACAGTTTGAAACAGGCTTTCTGCATAGATTAGCTATTTATCCCCTTTCTTCCACCCCTTTATCTGGAGCAATAAAATAAATTTGCTTTCAGTCAGGGACATGGAATTTCTTCATCTCCCATCTTGCACAACTAGTATGTTTAGAATCCCGCTCTTTCCTTCACTCCCAGGGGAGCCGGCCCCATGTCTGTAGTGCTTTCCCACAGTTCTACCCCAGCTGCACTCCTACTGATGCCTTCCTGAAACTGGGCACTTAGCCTGGTCCCAGGGGCACCCCCTGGCATGGCCTTCCATGTGGCTTCGGGTCAGCCAGATTCTATCAACCTGGTGAGCTCACTCTTGTACCCTCTTTTTCTGTTTATGAAATTATAGATTCACATACAAATAGGGGTTCAGCTGCTTAAATAAATCTAACTGCAGTAATACCAAAATAACCCCAAATCTGCAACAGATGCAAGGATGCCCCCTGGGGCAAATGTTAAGTGCGATGACAGCTGGGCATCAATTATTACATTTGTCACCCGCTCATGGGATAGGATCATGGGAGGTTTGGCAAAGGGACAAGTAACCTATTGAACACTCTGCACAAAACTCAGTTAATATCAAGAGAAATGATTTGTGGAGATGTTTGTTTTTATTTTACATTAATATGCTGCCTTATCTAGCTGCCTGGGTAGAGTCACAGCTTTCCCTCTGAGTTTGGAAGAAGCTAAGAGGGCTGGTAAGAGCAGTGCCCCCTTCACCAGCATTACCCAGAACCTTCAAGTACTCCTCAGCGTTTTTCCTGCGAAATATAGGCCTTCTCGTTATGGGCTTAATGTTCATAATTTATTAGGTAATAACTATTTAAAATAAAACGAAGTTAAGCACAAAATATATACTTCTCCAACACTTGGAGACTTGTTTGCCAAATTAAAAGACGAAGTGCTGAGAATATAAAATTACTTTCATATGTTGAGGGTGAATGTTTAAATTGTACTTTTTTGAACGGAATGTTTACTCATGAGCTTAGCATTTAAATGGTTAAAACAAGCCTTTGAAGTTAACACTCCATTAAGATGAATGGGGGTAATTCACACCTCTGCTGGTGCTGTATTATTTCAGTCTGGCTGCGGAGAAAACAAGACAGCAGTGGGTTGATTTACTGTGTGAAGGCCCTTTAAACACCCAAGGTCTGGAAATCTTTGTTGTTGTTTTTTTTTCTTTTTCACCTAAAACCAGAATCTGAAATTCAGCACAATTTAGGTATAGAATTGAAGTCTTGAAAGTACCATAGATTCTCTGTTATCTGCAAATTCCTACCTGCCTTTATTTGTTCCTGTACTCTAGCCTTTCTTCCTACCCTGGCACCATTTGTATTAAAGTTCCGCTAGTAATTCACCAGTGGAAAAGCAGAAAGGAACCATCCATTTTCGGGTATACTTTACACGTGCCTTTAAATGAGTTATGAAATAATCCTCGCTTTATCATCTTCGCAACTCTCAAGTTCTGCCTTTTCCTAACATAAAGTATCCATCTTTAACGACTGTTTTCTTCCCCATTTGGGGGTATGGGATGTGGTTGAAGAGAGCAAAGATCAGTGGGAGAGGCGTGTGTCAGTGTGTTCTTTGTGGTAGTCATGTATATTTGAAATGTGCATTCCCCCCATTGATGGAAGTTTTCTAGCCAATTGATCCTGAAATAATTAGTTTCAGAGGCTAGGAATAAGGCTGTATGAGCATTTTATGAGATGTCAATGAATTTGGAAGATCTTTTTAAGGTAAACAGATTTTTCTTGTGTCATCTCTGCCCGTGTATTTGCAGGATCAAGTTACTAGATACTCTGTGGGTAGGTGGGTGTGGACAGTATTTCCATTTGGGCTGCCTCTCATGTTGACATTGCCAGTACAGCACATAGAAATGGAAAGTAGATGCTAGTAACACAGAGGCCCAACCAGTTCATTTAAATCTGTGTTGGGCTGTGTTAGAATTAGCCCAATTGAAAACAGTTTGTTTCCTGCAAATTACTCTGCCTAAATTTTAGGTGTTAAAATTTTTGGTCTTAGAACGTCTCAGAACCTTCTGTAGCACTGAGATTTGTTTTTCTAATTTAAACACAAAATTTAACTTTTTTTTTCCTTCCTGTCGTAATACTTCGATAGTCTTTCTGTATGAAGTAGGAAATATAGGAAAACAAAGTTTTGATAAAGGATGACTAAAGATATTGTGTGAGTGTTTTCCTCATTGCAGTCAGAATTCTTTCTGTCTCTCGCCCTTCCCAAACAATGTGATAAATGTTTTACTATCATCATGATCCACTGTCCTAGTTTGCCAGCCTGTCAGTTATGGTGAGCAAGTATGAGGTGCAGGGAGACTCATCTTGGCTGATGGACAGCCAGTTGGACAGGAGGTTCATTCACCTATAGCACAAAGTAAATAGGTGCAAAGAGAAATTGAGTTGCCAGGAAAAAAAACAGATGGATTAAAAGACATTCTAATATGGGATGGGGCCTAGGCACTGATACATTTTTTTTAAAGCTTCCAGATGTCTGTAATGGGCAACCACTGGGTTGCTACATCAGCCTTCTCACAGGTGTCTGTCTGCCAGTCCATTTTGCCTGTTGCTGTCCACTTGGAATCCTGCTTTCATAGGATGACTTTCCTGCTCAAGAGTCTCAGGTGGCTCTCTACTTCTTTGAAGGTTTGGTCTTTTGTTAATTTTATGTCACATCACATAACAACTTAATTCCACATTCCACATTCTCCTGTCTCATCTACTAAATTGTATTTTATCCTTTCCTTACCTACATTCTACAATACACTGAAGTTGTTTCACTGTTTGGTACTTGATTTGCCTTTGATTATCATGTTTCAACATTTTTACTTCCACTATCCTCCTTTCCCCATTCCAAGTTCCACATACACACCCACAATGTCCTCACTGCTTTCTTCAGCCTTGCCACACACTTCCCAATCTCCAGGAACCAGCTCAAATACCACCTTGTAAAATAAACGCTTCATTCTCCACTCCACCTTACCCCTTAAGATCTACCTGGTTCTTTTGGTACATGCCATTAGTACCTTGTAATATATTTTCTGTTTCTTCATAAATTGCTTTTGCATTTCATTTTTAATAGTTAATAAACATGTGGTACAAATTCAAAATTTACAGAATTGCTTCTCTCCCACTTCTGCCCCAAGCACCTAGTTTCCTCTCTGGAAGCAACCACTCTTGCAACTTTCTGTATCTTTGCAAATATATTCTAAGCCT